CCGAAAACATTTTCCGCTTATCCTATTTCTTCCTCTACCTCCAGACATCAAATTTTTTTCTTTTTTGTTCAACAATACAATGTCAGATCTTCTGCCCATAACATTAGGATATATCGGATTATCGTGGAAAGAGAAGACGAAATTCATTTCAACAACTGTGAAAAATTCATAATTCGTAAATACTTCACTTTCATGCCAATTCGTACTTTATTGCACGTATTACGATTTTATTTTTTTCAATACTTATTTTGAAGCGTAGCACTTAATTAATCGGCATAATTAATTCAGTTTAGCCGTTCATCGATGCCATCTTCCATGTATTTCTAATGTTGTCAACTGTCGGAAGCTGCAGTACCGAACCACCCGTCGCACTGATTCTTGTTGCCCTATTCGCTGTTGGTCTAATATCCGTATCATATGTATTGATCAATCGGCAGATCGAACATGCTTTGCAGGTAACGTTAATATTTGCTCTTTTCGAAACATTTATCCGGAAGTTACTGATCTATTATTTTCTACCCACTATTGAATTTCAGTGGGAATTGGGGAAAAAAAAAAGTTGTAGTTAAATTCAAAATCTTGCCAGACTCGAAAAAAAATCCTGATTTTAGATTTTGTTGTTATTCGTATTAAGCCTTTACTTCGCCAATTTTTTTCGATTAAAATTCTGATAAATTCGCACTAATGAACTCCAAACTCGTTTTGACTAAAGAAGAGAGGCAGAAGTTTCATTTCCAGGGATTCGAGTTGCTGTTTAGCAAATATTTTGGTATACTTCGACGTTGGATATGCAGTAAAGATGAACTTGAGGAGTGTAAGTTAATTGAGGAAGAAGAAGAATCCGAATCCGATACGTAGTTGATTTGTATTTAATCAATTTTGAATCCCACAGTACTGGATAAATTCTAGTGTATATAAGAAATATTATTACATTACGCTATACTTTTCTGTATGGAAGTCCAGTCTTCTCCCGTCTTCTCCCTAATGATTGAATGTTTTGCTATGTGTTTAGTGGTGGTTCATGAAATAAATTTAGAAATTTTAAATTTCTTTTTGAGTTTTGTGTGGAATTAGAGCAGTTGTTACTGACTTGCTAATGTCCACAAATGACCACTAAGACAATTGAACTATTTCATTTCTTCCTGCTCTTCCGACTTCCCGAATATATGTAATAAGAGTAGATTTGATTTACATGATGCGGAACGTGCACAAAGTAACGTTGGAAGACCACTTTGATGGGTTCATTTATGAATTTAAAAATTTATAACTACTACCAACAAGAAATTTCGAAAAGCTTCCAGGAACAACTCTTTCTTTTCCTCTAATTCCTCTTCCACCCGTTTATTTCCTTAAAGAAAAATCTATCTGCTAGATTTATCGAGTTGTTATGGTTAAGCTGGTTGAAATCTTTTGGACCGCTAAAATTTTTCCATTTTCAATCGACAAAGCAAATCGGAACAAACCATTTTACATAAGTGGACAAGAAGTCCATATTTAAAACAAATTTAAGAGTAAGAAGGAAGCTGACATAAGCAAGTTGTTGAAATCAAAATATCAAGTTCACTCCAGCACAATTATCAGTGAATGCTATATTTACTAACTGAATCATATTTTTTTCTTTTTTCCTCTTAATAAATCAAACAACAATTAGTCAAGATCGAACAGTCTAAAAAAGCACCCGCGGAAAATATGATTAAAACCTTTCCGTTTGCAGTAACAAAGAAAGATTAAAGAAAACGAAAGTTTCACCCCTTCATTGTTTATTGCGAAGAGATAGAAAATTGTTCTTAAATATGACTTTCATTGAGAATAATATTGAAGTCTACTGAATCAATTTTTCTTGGAACCAAATTTATGACAGAATTTTACTTCATATAAGGTAGCAATAACAGTCAAATATAAACAGAAATAACACTAAAGTAGCATAGTGGATACATGAGGTTATATTGAGCAACATTAACACATCGATGTTATCACAAGCATGATAGCACCGGTATTTAAAAAATAATAACCAACGAAAAGGCGGTCAAATAATCTGGAAAAAAATCGAAATCGAAGCACAATCTGTACATTAAAAGATTACTTCCTTCGCAGATTGAAAATTTAGCAAGGATGTTCAATCAGTGTTTATTAAATTTACCACATGTGAAGATTAGTATTCGAAACTGCTTCATAATTTTTTAATCATTAACGTTATCTCGTCCATCGTAACAATTTTAAAATCTTTGCAATATTTTCCAAGCCAGTGCTCTGCAACTGTTAAGATTGTGAATATCGTCGTATTATTTGTGATTTCTCCAGGAAGTCTCTTTTTTTCACCTAAATAAAGTTATTTTTGTTATTGACATATTTAACCTTTTTGGCTCAATACAATACTGGCTGTAAATGATATGTAACGGGCCTCTGAGAAAAGAGGTTTTGATTCCAACTTCAATAAACAAATATGCTTTTGGAAAGTTGAATTGGCTCGGAATGCTTCATTTGATCCTTACCTTATCCGTTGCGGAAAACTTCAATGTCGTCTTATTATGGCTTGACTGGAGTTGCAATATCACAGTAGTTAAGCAAATGGTTTTCTTGTTCAATACAATTGAACTTTTCAGACAAATTCTGCATGTTATTTCAAGAACTGTACACTTATTCACTTTTACGATACAGCAAAGCAACAGATACTGAGGTATTGTATTGTTAAATTAGCAGTTGCTAGCTTCCTTGAGGAAAATGTTTTCACAAACTATAAAAATTTGCATAACCGCGTAATTCTCTTACCATTTGTAGCACCTTACTTTTGAAACATAAATATGCTAAAATGAATTATGTAAATTTGAAAATCTCAGAATGAATAGCCAACCTATCGTGTCCACTTGTTTCTTAGGAAATGATTATGAAGACAAAGATTAATACAACTTCGAAAATCTCATATCCTATTCTTAGTCTTAGAAATGGCTGATGAAAATACTAATATTAAAATATTGTCACTAACTTAACTCATTGCTCATTAGATTATTTATTTCCCAATTTAAAAGCATTTTTGGTATTTCAAATTTGCAATGAATGGTGTTATTAGTACAAACAACTTAGGAACTATTTTGTATTCGACAGAGATTGTCAACTCTTCGATAAAGCCAAAGAGGACGTGATTAAGAAAAGCGGCAAAAATTACCCACATTGATAAACCTATAGATCAAAGAGGCGTCAAAGGCGTTCAAACTATTACCAACGAAAAGCAAGATGACGTCATTGTATAAATATGCTAAGCCGTAGCTCGAATTCGACTTAGTAACGATTCCCGAACAACATTATACAAATAGCGCTGCCGTTTCGATTCGAGATCCAGTTCTGTTTTATCATCCTTCTCTGACTTTGAACAGGACGTTAGTCGTGTTGATTTTACTTCACGCAACAATTTCGTAAATAAAAAACACCGTCTTTTTGTGCTGATTTGTGACGGATCTTGAAAATTTCCTTTTCTGAAAGTAACACATCTAGAATCCTGCAACCCAAAGGCAATATTGCTGTGAAGAATTATATAAAAAGTGTAGTAGAATGAAGCTTCTGATAAGTACGAAAAGATGATGACCAGTGGATAATTAACGGGAAGAAGGAATGGTGGGCAGGGATTTGGATTTTTATGGGACGGAAATTCCTCACACAAATATTATTGTCCCAAGCTGTGAAAAGATCGATCACAATCAACTTGAAGCAGTAAGTTACACTGAACTTAACTGGAGTTTTATGCAAAATTTTCAAGTATGTTCACCAACAAAAGTAATAGTTCCCTTGAATTCGTGCTTTATTTTTGTTTTCAACTAAAGAAGAGTAAAGCTTTAACAGTGTTTTCAATGAGCGGGTATTGCAGTGTGACGTTTGAAAGCGTCATATGACTTTGTGTGCATTTAGTTTCCTTCCCTTCCCTCAAAACAAGCAGTGAGGTGAAATTTAGCATCAGTTTAGAACGTGGAATTTTTATCCGATTGATCGAAATTGCAAACCCTGAATGCATGTTCCCATCCGAAAGAATCATTTATCACCACTACATGTGTTTGTGTCGCATTTCCAAAATTAAAGTTCCTAGTTTTGACAAGTATTTCTCCGTAACATTTCAAAGACAGCCGAACTTCAACTTTCAAAACAAATCGTGAGAAACTGTAAGTTAGATAGCACATAATTCCCTTGTTTCTCTCAGGTGAAAAGGAGAAGGCAATTTATCTAACATAGTCCACTTCATATGATCCACTGGCTAGTTGGATAAAATTCAATAAATTTTTGGATATGGTTCTGTTCCAAAATTTTCCGAAAACAAAAGGGCAACAGGAATATTTTTCTTATTGTTGATGATCGCTAGTGTTGTCGTTTTGTCACCTGTTTTATCACACTCGGTTATTTTTCAAAATGGCCCACTTTTTTGTTTGCTGCTACCTGCTGTAAAACAATTTATAGACAATCTGTCGCTTCCTTCCTTCTGCACTGTGTGCCCCATCTTTCCACTTCTCTATCCGTTATGTAATTATTGCAAAAAAAAAAAATCATTGAAATCAAATTAAAGTTTTTTTCAAGGGTCTAATTATCACCTCCCCCTACACGTTTTCGGGTTCAAAGTATTATAATATTAGTGAACAGAAATTACCACTGAAATTTCTCAACTTAATTAAAAAAATGATTTAACGGAAAACCTGTTAAATCCAAGAAATAAGTTTTGTCTCCATGCGGATTGTAACATTGTATATCCAGAGGATGTTAGTTGCTCACGGAAAAGACATTTTTCATCCTTTCCATCACTCTGGAAAATTAGCTTTTATTGCAACGAATGAATTGTAATGAGTATAATATTTGGAAATGAATGATTACCGTATTATTTCTTCGATGGAATTTAAATTTCATTATAGTGTAATTTTCTGAATCTTTCATTATCAAAAACTTCCTTGTGGAATGCTGGAGATTTGGATGTGATGTAGGTGAAACAATGCAATATAAAAGTGGCAAAAATTGTACACAAAGATTATTGGTAGTAGTAACATGATTGAAGAAGTTGCTCTACAGTATTTGGCTAACAGGTGGGTAGTATACTATCAACTTAAACATTTTGGCCTAGCCACATAACTAATCCGATAGTAAAGCATTGCATAATGTGAGATTACGGGGAAGGAATTAAATGATAGTAGCAACATTTCATTGTTTATTTTTGGGTTGCAGAATTTAATGTTAAAATTGGATTTGAAATTTTTATTTATTTTTTTGGCACTTAGCAATTTCAGATAGCGGTATAATATTGCCTCCCATAAAGTGTAACAAAACAAGACAGAAACAAAATAAAATTTTCCCAATGCAATAATAATTTTCCCAATATAATAATGCTAGAAATATCGCCACAAAAAAAAGACAACAAAGTGCGAAAAAAGTTTTAAACAAAATAAATGCAATAAAATTCGAAAATTTCGAGCTTTAATAAATTTAAGATAAAATATAATCCTTAGTTTTGGAAAATAAAATTTTAT